CAATCTGGTGGTTAGCTTCCTCCCCATCTGTCCTACATAGTCACAGGGGCAATCCGTGCAGGGGATTCGGTAGTTTCTTATTTTATTCTCTGAAACCTTGGTTAGGATTCAGATTGGTTTATTGACAACTCTTCTATACATCACTCTGCCTGTAAATATCTCTCAATGAAATTAAACTTTATACTCTGTTTTTCCTTCTCCCTCTCCCAGTCCCTCAGTCCAACCCCAAATAGCAAAGTAATTCCATTATTTTTAACTGCTCGTTTGTTTTGGAATGGTTTCAAGGCTCTAGCTTTGACCTTTAGAATCTTAAATATTTTGATTGGCTCCCTTAAATTGTATATTTAATGCTATTGTTCCCATATAATTATAAACTTAATATTTCTCTTTGTATTCTTTGACCAAGATAGCAATTATCTGCTTTGTTGAAAATTTTTAAAGGTCAGTTTATTATTGCTTGACTTCATGCTCATTACAGGGATTAGTACATTCAAAAGTGATCTATAGAATTTCATCAATATAGTGAATGTGCCATTGCACCATAAACTTTGCCCCACACATTCATAAGAAGTTGTGCTTGTATCATTGGTAGTGTTGATATATCCATTTTAGAATCACAATGTGGGCTAACATGGATATAAAAAAAAATATGAAATCACTGTTTACTGTGTCAGACCACCGATCCATGAGCTATAATGATTGGCAGGAGCTCCAGATCAAGTGGGCCGATCCATGCTATAGTGATTGGCAGGAGCTCCAGATCAAGTGGGCCAAGACCTTCCCTTTTAATCTCCTTTTGTACTGCTACTCTAATCCTGACCAGTCCAAGCAAGGAGGTAAACATTAAGCTTCCTACTTACAGTTTAGCTTTCTGACATGGTTTCTACTGTACCTCCATCTCTCTGGAGGATGGAATGAGATCCCTCCATGAGATCTAATTGGCCCCACACTGCTGGTCTTGCAAAGGGCTCTTTGTTCAGGTTTTTGGGGAGGATGACTGAAGGTCCCTTTAAGTGGTGCAGGATTGGTTTTGCTCTTGTCTGTTTTGCTGTCTTTTATTGCTTGCTATTGTTTGCCATTACAGTATATTGTTTTATTTCTCTTAATAATGTTTACTTGTGAATGCTCAGAGTCATTGGGAGCAACCTTTTCTTAAGCATAGTATACTTTCAATTAACTATCAGTATAAATAAAAGAATGCTGTTCTTAAGAATGAAATGAATCTGCAGGTTAATGGCATTGGATCCATCCCATAGCAGCTAATTACTTTCCTTGAAGACCTTTTCTTCTGCAGCATTCAATAAAGGAAGAAAAAGACTGCAGAAAACAAGCTGAATGAAGGGACATTCATTATCTTTTGCATAGATTGATCTTGGACTGGCCAACTTCTTGCCTTTCGTATAATTGGAGAATAGATTTTTTTTATATTTTACATTTTTAATTCCATCTTTATTATTTTTATAAATAATTCAACCCAGTGAACATACCTAATAGTCCTTCCTCCTCCTATTTTCCCCACAACAAAACCCTGTGAGGTGGGTTGGGCCCAAGGTCACTCAGCTGGTTTCATGACTGAGATAGAACTAGAACTCACAGTCTCCTAGTTTCTAACATGGTGCCTTAACCATTAAACCAAATTGGCTCTCATGAATATCTGGCAGTTTATCATTTTTGGCCTTAATGTTTTTATAATGCCATGTAGTAGACTCACCTGATGCTATAGAGCACGGGTGTCAAATTCAATCACGTCATGTGATGTATCGTGAGGTATCTCGATGTTTTTTGCCTTTGGGGAGCCAGGTTTGGCGTGGCCTCTGCGTGGCGCATCCGGCCCACAGGCCACCAGTTTGACACCCCTGCTGTAGAGTAGAAAACAGGAGATATTTCTTGTCCACAAACCTTTGGGTCTTTTCACTTGGCAAAGCTCCTGCTTTGGGGTAGTAGCTTGCTTCATCAGTGCTATCACATATTTTCTAGGAAACATTCTTCCCTAATTCCAGTGCTTGTGTAAGAGTTGTCTCTCCCTGTGCTGTTTTTCTGGTGATTAAAGAACACAGAGGCAAAAAAAGAAAGAAATATTATAATGCAGCCTTTGTGCAGCTGGAGGATTCAATGCTTCCTTGGGAGAAATAGGAGCTCACAGGATATAACCAAAATTAAACTTTTTTTTAAAAAAAAGGTAAAATATAACAATATTTTAACTTAAAATATTAAAAATGCACACTTTTAATAGGGAAGGAGATAATTACAAAGCTGTTTGGATTATGGAAAAGAGTTCCTTGATTAAAAACAGAAACTATGCAAAAGACGGTGTAATGCTCCCAGTAGATCATAAGATGTTGCTGTGCTGGTCTTCTACCAATAACTCATTGCTGTCCCAAAGCCTCCATTAAACAAGAGATGGGGCAGAGAGTTCCAAATTAATGCTACAGTTCACAAGAGGTTTGAAAGAAAAAGAATGTTTCCATGCATAGCCTAAGGCAGGCATGTCAAACACAAGGCCCAGGGGTTGGATGCGGCCCGCGAAGTGGTTTCATGTGGCCCGTGAAGCCATCCTGGAAACAGTGAGGGAACAGCCCCCGCTGCCTTGGCCCTAGCCCAGGAGCCAATGTACAATTTTGTGGTGGCCATCTATGCTGAAATGCATTCAGTCTTAGCTCCACAAAGCCGTCTGGAAACAGCGAGGAACCAGCCCCTGCCGCGTCGGCCCCACCCCTGGGTGCATGCTGGGGAGGTGTCACCCTTTGTGAGGAATGAAGAAATGCACCATCGCCTGGAAGTGGCCAGCAAATGGCCCTCGCCTACTTCACATATCTGGCTTGATGGGCTCTGCCCTGGTCCCACCCCTTTCTGCCAGAGACCCTCAGATCTGTCCCACTCCTGCCCAGGCCCCCACAGGCACCCTTGACGCGAATGATATAGAGGTGGCCACGCCCACCCAATAGGCCACACCCACTCCATCCATGCCCACCCAGTAGGCTGCACCCACCCTGGCCACACCCACCCGGCCCCCTGAGGGCAACCGCAATGCTGATGCGGCCCTCAATGAAATTGAGTTTGACACCCCTTGCCTAAGGTATGCTGCATAGACAACATCCAACACAGTTTCCTATGTTCTACAAAGAGAGAGTATTTTTCACATGCAGGAAAAAGGGGGGGGAAATCTAATGTGAATTCCTGCTAGACTTTTAAATCTTTTTTTTCTGCAGCAATAATGCTGTCTAAAGCATTTGTTCCACTTTTTGTGGAATTCCTTTTTCTCAGACACTCCACTAAATTAATGTTGAGGCTGCTGGGAAGATGGAAGGATGAATCCTTTTTGTTTTCTCAGCATTGTCAGTTTCTGCCCTCACATTTAAAAAGACCTAAGGTTTTCTGGAAATCTGAGAAGGCTATGTTAATTTGACTGTGTGTATGTGACAAAGAACTTCTCTACCTCCTGGAAATGCATATTGCATGTCTGGCTGACTGTGAATAATTGAGTTTGTCTGGCAAGCAAAGAAACTACATGCAGCACCCACTAGTTCATAACTTGCGAGTTCAAGTTATATTACCTTTACATCACTGGATGATTTAGGATCAGGTTGTCTTAAAGCTTTTTCCAGATATAGCTAACCTGGAACAAGTGTTCTTAGGGCCCCTTCTCCGGATGCTCAGTCAGTAGAGGTGCAGTGAGGGGCTATTGAAAAGTTTTATTGGACTCTTGACATAAAATAGTCTCCAATCAGGGAAAGGACAGCCCAAGAGTGCTTTTCAAGAGACACATTCAGGGAGACAACAAGTTTTAGTCACCTGGGTCTTTGGGAGAGAGTTTTGGAAATGATTTTTATTCCTTCTGCCACCTGAGATGTTAAATTGGAGGGTTTCCTTGTTTGTTAGTATATTAATGTGTAATCACCCCAAGGACTATATGTTACTTTGCTACAGTGTGGGAATTCAGTCTTCAAGTTCAGGTTTCCTTACTGTAGGGTTTGAAGTAGAACCCAAAACGAGATAATCTTTTCCCCCTGAATTTCTTCACACAACAAAATAGTAGAATAATAAGACTTGGAGCAACTGTAATTGATTCCTTCTGATTAATTTCAGGGAAAAGCCTTTTCTTTAGCAAATTAAATCACAGCATCCCAAAAAATACAACCCCCCCAAAAAAAACTACCTACTTTTCATCCAAATTGCTGGCAGATGCTGAGATACTTCCTCTCCACTGTCATATAAGCTGAATAAGCTTGCCATTAATATCTAATTCATGTAGATACTAAACCATAAATCATGGTTTACAAACAGCATTAATAGGGTTCATGCAATTTGTTTAATCCAGTTTAAGCAATAGCAATAGAACTTAGACTTATATACCACTTCATAGTACTTTATAGCCCTCTCTAAGCAGTTTACAGAGTCAGCATATTACCCCCAACAATCTGGGTCCTCATTTTACAGCCTCAAAGGGATGGAAAACTGAGTCAACCTTGAGCTGGTCAGGATTGAAGGAATCGAACTCCTGACAGTGAGCAGTGAGTTAGCCTGCAATACTGCATTCTAACCACGGTGCTGCCACAGCTCCAAACAAACCATACTGTAGCTTAACATAAAGTATTGATTGTGTTTTCATTTGCTTAGGAGTTGCTCAGAGAAGACTGTTAATAGGCAGCAGAAATATATTTCATAAGTAAATAACACATGAAAAATACTTCCTTGCCAGAATGAATGTGAACCATCTTTTCAGAGAATGAGGTATGATAAGTCTATACGTTGTGTTGGTCCCGTCCTGCTTCCCCACCTGCTCTTGCTTATACATCTAGATGTGTGCATTGGGAAACTGCAGCCAGCCTGAAGCTTTTCAGAATAGGTACAGGCACAGGGCTCTATATTTGGATACACATGATTAGCACAGACTATCATTTGCATATAATTGAAATATGGTAGGTAACAAGTTGAGATAACAGTTTTTTGCTGGATTGATTTGCTGTTTGATGCTAATTATACTCTTATTTTAATTCTAGAAACCTTGGGAAATCTGGATTAAGAGTTTCTTGTTTGGGACTGGGTGAGTATGTTATGTCTCTGTGTATATTTGTTGTAGATACTGGTTAATTTGCATAACTTTGTTGATATTAATGCCAGATAAGTAACTGAATAAAATACAGTGACAATTATTTTTATACAAAATCATTCTGGTGTTGCATTTCCCTCAATCAATCAATCAATCAATCAATCAAAATAGACTTGTGACGGTATTATACCATAGGCATGTCCACTGTGTTTGTATTTCTAGGTGTCACAGTAGTAAGATGAGTTGTTAACTATTTATTGTACTTATATAGCCTCCAATGAAAATATTTCACCTGTTTTCCTATGTTGGGAGCTAGGAAGTTTGACCATTTATAGCTTAGATACAACCTGCTGGGTTCTCCATAGGTTGGACTATAATTTTCATTATTCCCAAGCCATTTGGGATTTGGGAAAGGCAGGCACTATAATTCATCACATGAATACTCTTCAAGAAGAAACACAAAATAAATTGAATAGATAAATGCATTTCAAGGAGTGCCTGAATAAATAACAAATTTAACATTTTGGTAGTCAGACCCATATATATTCAATATTTAATTTGATTTGGGTGCATGCAGAATGCTTTATCTGAAATAAAATCAGATTCATACTTCTAAAAAATGTTCTATAGACAGAAATTATCTCCTAAAGGGGGATGTTCCTAAGGGGTACATATCCTCCTTCATTTTTTTAGACCTGTCATCATTTATTTCCAGATTCAGCTGATTCTTTTTTTTCTTGCCACTCAGTATTATAATGCATTGAATATATGATTTGCCTATAGATTCAAAAGTTGTGAGAAAACAAGTCACAAAAGATTTGGAGAGAAAGAAAGGTTAAGAGAACATTCAAGGCCTATCCCAGCCTTTCTTGTGGTACCTTCAAAATAGGTTGGGGCCACAATTTCCAATGTGGCTTGGCTATATTTAACTAGATATTCTAAAAGTTTTATTCCCAATAAATATTCTTTGAACAGTTCAAAGTAACACACCAAGAAAATAGTTTTAAAATTAAATTTCACATTGTAGCAATGTTATTAATGTAGGACAAACATGTATCTGCTCCTCCCAGCCGTAGTATCAACTAAAGCAGGGGTGTCCAAACTTTTTTCAAAGAGGGCCAGATTGGATGAAGTGAACGTGCTGGAGGGCCGAACATTTTTCCGAACATTCTTTGAACCATTACAATTAAATGCAAATTAATTATTTTATGCCTCTTTCCTCTCCCTCTCTTTCCTCTTTCTCTCTCTCTCTCTCTTTCCTTTCCCTTTCCTCTCCCCTCTCTCTCTTTCTCTTTCCTCTCCCCCTCTTTCTCTTTCCTCTCTCTCTTTCTCTTTCTCTTTCCTCTTTCTCTTTCCTCTAACTTTCTCTTTCCTCTCTTTCTCCTTTCTTTCCTCTTTTCTTCTCTTTCCTCTTTCCTTCCTTTCTCTTTCCTCTCTTTCCTCTCTTTCCTCTTTCTTTCCTCTCTCTCTTTTCTCAATCTTTTTTCTTTCCTCTTTTTCTCTTTCCTCTCCCCCTCGCTTTCTTTCTCTTTCCTTTCTCTTTCCTCTCCTTTCTCTCCCTCTTTCCTCTTTTCCTCTTTCCTCTCTCTTTCCTCTCTTTTCTTTCTCTTTCCTCTTTCTCTCTTTCCTCTTTCTGTTCTTTCTTTCCTCTCCCTTTCCTCTCTTCTCTTTCTCTTTCCTTTCTCTCTTTCTCTTTCCTTTCTCTTTCTCAATCTTTTTTCTCTTTTCTCTTTCTTCTCCCTCTTGCTTTCTTTCTTTCTTTTCTCTCCCTTTCCTCTCCCTTTCTCTTTCCTCTTTTTCTCTTTCCTCTCTCTCTTTCTCTCTCTCTTTCTCTTTCCCTCTCTCTTTCCTCTCTTCTCTTTCTCTTTCCTCTCTTTCTTTCTCTTCCTTTCCTCTCTTTCCTTTCTTTCCTCTCCTCTTTCTCTTTCCTCTAACTTTCTCTCTTTCCTCTCTTTCTCCTCTTTTCTTCTCTTTCTCTTTCCTCTCTTTCTTTCCTCTTTCTCTCTTTCCTTTCTT